CAACAACAACAGTCGACCGAAAATCGTACCTCCGTTCTGCCACCTCTGCAAGACTTCAGGGCATCCTCGTACGCACTGCCCGAATCGACAACAGTCAACGTCACCACAACGCTAACTTCGCCGTTCAAGCAGTCAAGTCGCCTCAACGCAAGCAAATCCGACAACTTCGGTACAAGTCTCAACAACATCGACGGGACAACCTGCGAAAGAAACAAGAAACATCATCAGCTGCATGGCAAGGCTGAGCGACTCCTGCGTAACTGAGTCACCACCATATTACTCACCAGAAGAACAACTCGACAACAGCACGCCTCGCCGCGAGTCACTTCAACCGAACCCGACGTACGCCGCCATCGCTCAAAGCGAACCGTCCGGGAAAGACACATGGTTCTTGGACAGTTGCTGCGGACAGCACATGTGCTCCTCGGGACGCTTCGTTCAACGCGAGCACCGACTTCAACGAGAGGTCGTCATCACAGTCGCCAATAACCCGAACCTGCGCACACGACGACAAGGGATTGTGCAACTTCAGTCATGAGAGACAAATGTTATACTACAGATGTCAAAAGTACTAATCGCGGAGGGACTCGGCTACAACTTACTGAGCGTCAGTCAGCTGATGGCGAAAGGCATACATCTCAAAGCAGACAGCACCACCCAAGAATTCAAGTTGTATCACGGGAGAGGAGGTCTCTACATCGGCAAGGCGGTCCTCAAGAACAACGTCTTCGTCCTCGATTTTGTCCCTGACCTTGGCACCGCCGACAGCTACGCCATCGTTAACTTCACCGATTGGACACATCCTCCAGACCTTGATCCAGACTTCAGTCCGGAAGGCTTTTGGTATTCACATACCATTCCTGAAGCAGAACGAACACGCACGTTAGTAACAATACAACATTCGGCAGCAGCAGAGACAACATCGGTAGCAGCAGAGACATCATCGGCAGCAGCAGAGACAACATCGGCAGCAGCAGAGACATCATCGGCAGCAGCAGAGACATCATCGGCAGTAGCAGGAACAACAACAGTAGCAGCAACAACGACACCAGTCCTCGTTGACGAATTACCACCAACACCAGCACAACAGCTCCACCCAGCACCACGAGAAGTTCATCTTAGCGCAAACTTCACCACCAGCTTCTATTCCAACTCCGATATGTACCGACGATCACCCGGACATCGCGCCGACGAAAGCACCTGGCACGCAAGGATGGGACACCCAAGCAACACTGTGTTAAACAACACAATAAGAGCAGGAGTCCTTGACAAGGACTCGTTACTACTACTCGACGGCAGAGAACTCCAACGGGCACGAGGAACATGCCTTACCTGCCCCGAAGCCGACTTACCACATCGGTCGTTCGCTCCTCGTCACAACCCGAGCGCACCCGCGTACGCACCACTCGAAAAGGTGTATAGCGACATCCTGTACAATCGGGAACCAGGACAAGTAATCTACAACTACACAATCACCTTCATCGACGCCGCCACCCGTTACGTCTGGCACCTAAACCTACCCAGCCGCGACATGGTCCTCGAAGCATTCGCTGCTTGGCTACCAGTAGCAGAGAGAGAGTCGGGCGTAAAGCTGAAAAGCTTCCAGTCAGACGGAGGAGGAGAATACACCTCTCAGCGATTCAAGCAGTACCTGGCGGAAAGGGGGATCAAGCAGCTCCTCTCTCTTCCCTACGCCCATCAGCAGCAAGGTGTAGCAGAAAGAATGAACAGGACTCTGCAGAACAGCATGCGCAAACTGTTACGTGGCATGCAGCTACCCAACCACCAGTGGCCTGCAGCAATGGACCACGCTGTCATGCTGCACAACTTGCTGTCGTCATCGTCGCTTCCGAACAACGCATCACCGCATCTGCTGTGGACAGGGAAACAGGGCAGCACAAAAATGTTACGAGTGTTCGGATGCATGGTACAGTATCGACCCCCAGCAGCACGAGCGGGCCGATTTTCACAACGCGCACAGTGGGGACTACACCTCGGCATCGAAAAGAATTACAACGCGTGGAAAATCTTCGACGTCCACTCCAAGGAAACAGTAGCAGCACGTGACGTCATTTTCTACGAACGACTCACGCTCTAGACGTACCTCGCCAACCTGCAAGAGGACCAAGATCCCACAGGTGGTTTTCGTGGTGACCGAGCCTTCGCCTCCGCAGAAGACGAAGCTGACTGGGACGAGCAGAATGTGGACAACGCGTCAGAAGAAGCCGGACCTCTCCCGTTCTGCTCCGTCGACGTTCCCATGGACGAAGACAACCCTCGCGAAAGTGTCAAAGCCGAAACCTTCTACTACTTCGCCGACAACGGTTACGTAACACCTGCGACAGTCAACACCAACGAAGCAGAATGAGTAGGAGCGAATTTCATACCTGATCCAGAAGCGGGAGATGAAGCAGCTTATCCCGAGGATGCAACTCTTCCCCGCTACTCACAGACTGGACTGCAGATACTCGGCCTCGTCACCGCAGTCCACGGCAACACCCTTCCTAAGGAGCCTGCGACGGTTCAGCAGGCTCTGGGGGGGGAACACAGGGAAAAATGGCGTGAAGCCATGGACAGAGAGTTAAAAGCGCTGGAGGAACTGAACACCTGGAAAGTTGTCCCCATCAACGTGGCAAGGAACAAGACCATTCTCACCGGGAAATGGGTCTTCAGCGTTAAAACAAAAGCAGACGGCACAATTGAGAAGTTCAAAGCACGCTGGGTTGTGCGTGGATTCGATCAGGAGCACGGGCGGGACTTCACCGAGACATTCGCCTCGGTAAGCCGACATACCTCACTTCGAATCCTCCTCGCGATCGCCGCCATGAAGAAAAGGAAGCTACGGCAAATCGATGTCGCCAACGCGTTCCTCTACGCACCTGTCGACGCAGAGATCTTCGTGGAACTACTGCACGGTACTACCGGAGAGCCCCACCAGGTTTGCCAGCTGCTGAAATCGCACTACGGAATCAAACAAGCCCCGCGGCTGTGGCAACAGTACCTACACGCTCGCCTCATTTGCATCAAATTCCGCCAACTACTTCACGACCAAGGAATGTACCGACTCACGAAGGGTACCAACTACATCCTGCGGATCGTCTACGTAGACGACCTACTCTACATCGGCTCCACTGACGACATTACCACCTGGTTCGAAGGGGAGTTACAGAGGGACCTCACACTCACGGTCTCCTCTACCGTCACACAGTACCTCGGCTTGAGCATTCGAGAGGAAGAAGATGCGATCTACCTCAACGCAACTAAGTACGCCGACACCATCGCCAAACGCTTCACGCTCACGCCTACCACCATCTCTACGCCCTACCGCTACGCGACAGGAAACCACGAGGAAGGATCCACTCTACTCAAATCTATCGGGATACGCGACTACCAGAGAAAGCTAGGATGCCTTCTCTTCGCAGCCGTTACCTGCCGCCCCGACCTCTCATACTCCGCAAGCCAGCTCGCCACTCATCTCAAAAGGCCTGAAGCAAAACACATGGCCGAACTCGACCGCGCTCTACACTATCTCGTCAGTACGCCAACGATCGGCCTAACATATCACAAGAACGCGACCACGCCACCTAAGCTAATCGGTTACGTCGACGCAGATCACGCGGGCGACTCCGACAACAGACGATCACGCACCGGCTACATCTATCGCTTCGAGCCTATCGGGCCTATCTCATGGCAATCGAGCAAGCAGGAACTAATTGCTCTCTTGTCAGCTGAAGCAGAATATATTGCACTCTGCTCAGCCACCAAGGAAGGACTCTACCTTCGCGAGCTGCTGGAAGAAGCGAAGTTAGCCGAGTTACCCAACTTTACCCAGTTCTGCGACAACCAGTCGGCAATTCGCATCGCCAACAAGAACGGTTTTGCGAACAGGACGAAACACATCGCCCTGCAATACTTCTTCGTGAAGGACGAGATCGAGAAGGGAAGGCTCGAGCTGTCATACTGCCCCACGTCCGAAATGGCAGCTGACTACCTGACCAAGAGGCTTGGAAAGCAGAAATTCGAATATTGCATGCTGCTGACTGGACAGAGCCACGTCAGCGACACTCCAGAAGCGAAGGGGAGTGTTGGAAACAATCGGTCCTAAGCGCCTCTGTCGTGTCGAAACACTTAAGACACAAATGAAGCAACGCATATCGAGGCACCAGCGAGTCAACCCTCGGAAGTTGAAGCAACAGCTGGAGGTTACGCGAAGGTCAAAGGTCAGCGACCTTTGACTTGACAAATGCAGCGCGACAGCAAGGACACACAACTGACTCGATATTGAGCAGTTGCCCGAGTCGCACTGTATCGAACCGCAACAGCCAGCAGTAAAACAGTTATCATCCGTATCTCTTCGTATCCCTTGTAATCATATATATAAAATCTTGTATCTCCTTATTTTAATTAACTTACTTTGCCCTCACATACTAGCGCAAGGTGGTTCAGAATCTCTTTGTTAACGCTTCCGCTACTACATCATTTTACCCAGAGATTAACCCTACCAAAGATCCTAAGGGGCACTCAGCCCAACACCACTGACCTAGCCTAGCACATCCCTTTCGTCACGACCAACGCGCGGGTGTGTGTCCCGCGCCTTGACAACCTCCCCCCTCACGTTTCTTCCTTATGCTCGGCTCGCTTTGAGACAACCATTCTTCACGTCACAATGTCCCTTATCCCATTTGTACAAATTCTAGCATCCTCTCGTGTCTCACCACATTGTCGCTCCCATGGCGTCAAGTCCAGATTCCGGCTTAGCGCACATTAGGCGCCGACGGGCGCAAGCTAGCACCAGTCAGGCTGCTCCGAGGATTAGCCCTCGTCCTTCTCTCCCAACTCCGACTTCTAGCAATCCATCAAGCAACTCCAGTGCCTCCGACTCTGAAGAATCGCGGGGTCCACTGCCTAGCGTGCGCGTTCCTGCTTTCCCTTCCCAAACCAGGTCGCAGGGTAAGAAGAAGAGGAACTCTGATGCGCAGACGCCTTCGCCACGTCACCGCATGACGAAGAAGAAGCGTCACTCGTACACGGCAACAGAGAAGCTTCACTGGCTGAAGATGCAAGAGCTTCAGCCAGACCTTTCCAACCGCAAGCTGGCGCGGATGGCGAACGTGCAGCAGTGCCAGATCCGAGAGTGGAAGAAGCTCGCTGAGAGGCTCAAGGTTTCCGCGGGTTGTCGCTGTCGCCTCGCCGGTGGTGGCCGCAAGGCCAAATATCCGCCCATGGAACGTGCCATCTATCGGGAGTTCCTGGCTGCACGCTCGAAGGGCCTGCCCGTATCGATCGCGCAAATACAAAAGTGGAGCCCCACTTGGATGAAGCACCGGCTTCCTACGGTGACATGGAAGGCGTCTTCGCGCTGGACATTCCGCTTTCGTCGCCGGTGGTCTCTGGCTAGGCGCGTCAAGACCAAGATGGGCCAGAAGTTGACCGCCGGTAAGCATTGGTTTAATCCCTCATCGATTTGCCCTCGGATTGCTCCACATCCTTCTCGATTCATGGCATCTGACGATTCTTTACGCTTTTCTTTTTTGTGCATGGCAGATTGCAAGCCAAAAGCGAAGTCGTTTTGGCAGTTCGTGCGTCAGATGCGCACGCTCCACGATTTCCCTCTGAATCTCATCGTTAACGCGGACCACACTCCGCTATTTTTGGAGATGTCGTCTGAACGAACGCTCGAGATGAAGGGTGCGCGCACAGTCCACGTGCGCTCTGCCGGCTATGAGAAGGAGCGACTTACCGTCATGCTGGCTGTGACGGCGAGTGGAATGAAGCTGCCCTCCTACGTCGTTTTCGAGCGGAAGACCCTGCCGAAGATTCCTATTTCCGAGGGTAAGCACTTAAATGTGTGCTCAGTTTGTTGTAACGGTTCACTGATGTCTCGCTTTTGCGCATTGCAGGCATCGTGGTGCGCGCCCAGGCCAAGGGATGGAAGGACGAGTCCTTGGTCCAGGACTGGACCACTCAGGTCCTCGTCCCCTTCCTGCGTCCTTTGCGAGATGGAGGGGGTCGGCGCAAGGAGGCTCTCTTGACGCTGGACTCCTATCGTGGTCACCTCACGGAATCCGTGCCAGAGGAGCTCGTCAGGAAGGCGTTCTTGACGTGCAACATCTCCAACGCGCTGAACGGCGACCAGGACCACCTCATCCTTGCACACTTGCGGGACAAGGTGGATATCGACGTCCTGGAGGACGTGCAGGAGGAGGAGGAGGACGTGACTCATCCCAACCCCTTCTACGAGGACCCTGAGGAGGTCGCGGCGCGAGCCAGCCCCCAGACTGCAGCGGAGCAGGAGGTGCATGCCGACAGGAGCTTGACTAACGAGGAGGACAACACTGACAAGGAGGATAACGATGACGACGATATGGCAGACCAATACTACGTTGACGAGGCAGATGAGGGAGCAGAGGGAGCAGATTCTGACCTGGAGGATGAGTGGTGGGCTCCTGGCCGCTATGAAGGGGAGGAGGTTGAAGAGTGGGTTGCAGGGGCTGATGATAGCTAGAAGCAATATTTGAACGAACCAGTAGATGCTCTAGATAGGGTGCGGCGCTTGATCCTTAACATAGTACGTAGTTGTTCTCCACCCTAAACTTTGTTATTTTCTGCTTTATTAGTGTTTTTTGCCTGGAAATGTTCATCAGAAAGCCCCCTATAGGGGACAAGGGGGGTCTTATATAAATTACCCCCCAAAGGGGGGGGGTATAACGTTTCTGAGGTTAAATAAAAGACCCCCCCCGTATTAGGTACCCGGGGGTGTTGTATTTTGGAGGGGTCTTCTATCCGGGGGAACACGGTAAGATACATGCCACGGCTCCCTTAGCCTCTAAACGAAATCAAGCCGACGAAGCAAGCAAGCAGATGCCGCCCACTCTCTTGCACATTTAGATTTGGATTCGGTTTTTCTGAACTTATGTGACACAGGTGCTACATAAATTTTAATGTACCATACAACTTTCTTGGTATCGGGGAACCATTTTGGAAGGACGAGGTCAGCTAGCGAATCTGCATGTTGGGGGGGTCGAATTCGAAGTCTCTTGGCTAGAATGAGGCTTATCTAGGTAACGCGGTACCCCTATTGTGACACTACTAGTGGCCGCAGTTCTCCTCGAATTGACCTCATTCTGCCAAGCTTCGACTCGTCTAGGCGGCACGAGTAAGGGAACCGTGGCAGCAATTCATTGCCCTCCAACATTCCTGAACTCGTCAAGCAGCTCAATAGATCAGTGGGTGATCCTTGCTATTAAGACCAGCTCTTCTGCGGAACCCCGCCTCGCATAGCCATGGACTCGGAGAATCCATCGAAATTAGGCGCCCATCACGGTCAGCACGGGGCGCAGCAGGCGCTCAGCGCGGGTGGCGAGCGAATGGTTTCGCTGCTGGTGGGGCCTGAGAGGACGAAGTTCCTTTGCAACGCGTCCCTACTCTCGCACTACTCGCCCTTCTTCGCCTCTCTTCTCAGCGACCGCTGGACCGCCGCTGCTGGTAGTAGTAGTGGCTGCTCTGGAGATGGCGAGAAGGGCGTGGCGCTAGTGGCGAGCGCGAAAAAGGGAGCTGGTGATTTGGTTGACAGCTGGAAACTAAAATCCGTGGATGCCAAAGATTTTTCGCGAGTCATGCTGCTTCTGGCGCACAAGCATCTCGAGGTACCTTGTGGTCAGCAGTGAAAATGGTGCTATTTGCAATTATTGATTTTGTTTTTGAATTTGAATTTGTGATTCTCATGTCTTGTGTGAACACATAGTGAACCGGAACTCTGCAGCGAGAGCTTGGCTTCCCTTATCTCCACGCTCGACTTCCTCAAGATTGAAGTGGACACCCTTATGTCACCTTCTTGCGGAGATAAATGCAATGACGGGGATACTTGGTCTGGTGCTAGAGCCACAGTGCCCTTGCCTCCATCATTTACTTGCCTCTCGTGTCCGCCACTGCTGTGCCAACTACGGCCTGTGCCTGTTGTTCCTGTGCCACCGGTGTTTCAAGATCCGCTTTGATTCGAGGGAGATCCAATTAGATTTCGCCTCAACCTATGCCATTATGTCGTCTGGTGCAATTCCTGCTGCCGCACACTAGCAGCAGGAGAAACCTGCAGCCATAGCCACTTCTGGTAGGACTTCAACCATATCTCTTGATACCCTCTTAATAATCTAGCCCTTGTTTCACCTATCATTCTCTTCCTGGCTGTGCCTTTTTTATGTACTTTCTTTGGATATCACAGGTCTTGGGTTGAGCAAGTACAGCTAAAGGCTGTTCAGCCAGATCTGCGTGCTGCTCGTCTGTGCCTCTACACCAAGGTCCGTGCGATGTATGATGACCCAAATTCTGGACCTATGCAGATTCAGGAGGGGCTGAGTAGTGCGTCATTTGTGCTGCCCATCACATTCCCTCTGTGAGAGGACGTCCCTGTTATAATATTTTCTCAATATTATATTTTTCCGTTATCCTATTCTCCCTTTTCTCCTCTTTATTTTGGTCTTTATCTCATCTCAATCGGCCTACTATTCTATTTTCTAGAGCCTTCTATTTATTTCTCTTATTTCCTACTTTTCCCACCGACATACCTATTATACGGCACCAACAGCGCCGACAGTGGTATATACGGTGTAATCTGGGCGTAATCCCAAGTGCCAATAGCCTTGCGTGCTTGTGCGCACTTGTGATTGTAGTATCGGGAAGGGCGTGTTCCCGAAGGTTCGTTTTATCTCGTTTATCCTTGTATTTTCCGAGTATAAAAATGCCTTGTATTCAGTTTTAGTGACAAGTTTCGATTGAAAATTCGATCCCGTGACACCCTCCAAGAGGCTCCTTGTTTTGCACATCATGTCAGAGCAGTCGTTGCTTTGTCTACTTCTATAGGAATGTTTCTTGGTGCGCGAAATGTGGGTGTAACTGGGAACCTAAGTCCTTTGCAGACGCGTCGTGCTTTCTCCAGTTGGCTGTTGAGCAAGCTAAGGGGCTTTTAGAAGAGAGCATTCGTTTGTATAATCCGCAGAGCATGTGAAAAAATATTGAAAGATCTAACCTGGAAAGATGCTACAACTAGTTGTAGCACAAGCAGGCCCTCAGATATCAGCATAAAAAGTCTGACTTCACTTATTTTCAGCCCCCCTTTTTTTTTACCGCGGCAGAACTTTCAAACTTTTTATTTTTGTAACACTGAATTTCAGCCGGACTGATTTTCCAGCCTTTTATCGAATATGTATACTGACGAGGATACATCACTTATCCGTTAATCTAATACATGTCAACTCCTTTTACAACTTATATTATTGTGCTAAAAATGGCTGCTTGTACCTCGCACAATTTGTGACGTGGTGGTTGTGGCCGGTGCAACTGCAAAGAGGTGAGACAGGGTCGGCCATCACTTGCCATCTGTCGGGGATGGTTGATCACCGACGTGTTGGACCAGGGCTATTTTTTTGTTTGAAGGCACTCTTCCATTTCTAAGTGAAATCCGCGCGCCACTCAGCTGGGCCACGTGGCGTGCTAAATATGCAGGGAAAGTCCAGGTGCAGCCATGGCACTGGTGCACATTTAGGAGCACAAGGACAGGCAAGAAGTGCATGTGCAAACACTACTTACAGAGTGCGTGCTGGGAGGGAATGAACATGTGAGGGGTTGAGTGAGAGTCGCCGAGGAAGCAGTTGCAGTGAGATTGGCCCGTCTAGCGCTCCAGTGGGAGTTGCCTCCTGTTGAGCACAACCATGCATGCAGCCGTCTGTGGCTGTTGAACGGTGCGGAGCTGGACGGTACAACACAGTCAATGTGAAAGCGAAGTGAGAAAGATTGTGATCACAGGTCAATGGATATGCATCTTGAAGCAACTAATCATGTGTGGTGTCTTGTCGATGTGTGGCAGGATCGCTATAGCACATTTCCCCACCAAATCCCCCCATCTCCCTACCACCCCCCATCCCCCATTCGTGAGCCAGGGTTCCGCGAGACACTAAGAGCGGACATAGACGTGGGGCGGTTTCAGAAGGAGGAGGCAGCAGCGCGCAACATGAACCTCGTGCTGGTGTCGCACGGGCTCACCCTGCGCGTCTTCCTCATGCGTTGGTACAAGTGGACCGTCGAGCAGTTCGAAGGGCTCTACAACTTCCCCAACGCTGGCTGCATGATCATGCAGCCGGGGCCGGGCAGCAGGTACGCTATGGCAGGTCGAGCTGCTTGCTCTTTAGTGGTCGAGTGTTTAGTATGGCAGGCTGCACATGCCGGTTACCACATACGTTTCGGGTGCGCTGGAAGGAGCATCACAAAAACCCTATGCCAAGTTTGGACGAATTTTGATTTCGATTGTCTTCGCGTAAAAAAATCCGGAGCCAATTTGGACCGACGGTTGGAGTCATTTGATAGGAGCTCCGAGACACATCTCGCGACAAGGTTTGGCTCGGTTCAAGTCCCAATTTGGCACGCGAGCTTTTCCGGATGACATTCGGGCGCAATCCGTTTTGTTGCAAATTCGTGACCAAATTATTCAAAACTAAATTCTGTTTTTGTTCATTTTGGATATTGAGGATTTCAAAATTGCATTTATTATTGCGGTTTACAAGAACCATTATTCAGCATTCTAGCAACAAGCAGTCTTAGCACCAGGTCAAATAGCCTACGCACTGGCGGGCCTTGAAAGCGCCCGGTGGGCAAGGACGACATCTCCAAGGTCGCCGTCGTCGATGAGGAACTTGTTTGGAAAGACGAACGCACCCATAGCCGGATCGTGGGGGATCCTCCGCTCCACGATAGCAAAATGGATCATCTGTTTGACCTTTTCGCACCACTCCTGGTAGTCTCGCCTGTTCTGCTCCGGCTGGCTACTTATTCGCTTGCGACGCTTATCCTGCAGAAGGGGCCATTCGATCTGCAATGTGGTGTAGGGTTGGGTGGATGGTTTATGAGGAGGGCAGGTTACGGGTAAATGAGGCAACTGAAAGCGGTGATGCAGTCGTCACTATCTACGTAACTGCAAAGGCCTAATCGACCAGGGTTTTAGCTGAAGTACAGGCAAGGGGTTAAGGGGATGAGGCATGGGGGTACAAACACATATCTACATCCTTACCGAAAACAGGCCCCATGCCACCATGCGGCTCTTGAACTTGGTGAACACCGCCCCGCCCCTCTTGAAGGAGAGCTTGAACGCATAAGCGAACAAGGGGTTGCTGAAGGGTGTCCCGGTGGCCTTGTCAAAGTGCCAGTTGAGAGCCCGCTGTTCTGCTTTTTGGCAGGGAGGGTATGGGTTGGAAAGGGTTTTGTAGAGAAATCAAATGGGGGGATGAGAGTCAGGGTGAGCCACATCGCACGGTGATATGTAGCTGCCAAGGGGCATATGGTAGGGCATATTGTGTTTTCGAGTTGCACTGCACATACCATCTCTGTACTTGGCTAGGAGTTGATCGTCGTCGAACCAGGTCGTTGGGTGTAGCTCAGTGGGCAGGCTATCCACGAGATGGCTGTAATCGGCAAGGCCCATGCCGGTGTATGCTGCTGGCCTGAGGGTGGAGTTGATAG